CTAATCTATCTATCTATGTATCTATCTTTCTATCTATCTATCTATCTATCTATCTATCTATCTATCTATCTATCTATCTTTGTCTATTTCTATCTATCTATCTACCTTATTATCTGTATTTCTATCTATCGATCTATATATCTATGTATCTATCTCATCTAATCTAATCTTATCTTATCATATCTTATCATATCTTATCTTATCTTATTTTCTCTTATCTTATCTAATCTTGTCTATCTACCTATCTATCTATCTATCTATCTATCCATCCATCTATCTATCTATCTATCTATCTATGTTGTCCGCACTAAGCGCAGCACCTCGACCTGGCCCTAGGTCCCGTGCTGCCGCGCCGGGCGCCGGGCCGGCTCCCATCTCGGAGGAGTCACCTGATGCCACGGACTCACCAAGGATGGAGCTGTCCGCCAAACGAACCAGGAAGAGCAATGTACAAGTGAAGCTTGGGCGATTACCTGGAGATTAAAGTTATACTTTTTTGGGGGCAGAGGAATTTTGAAAGATTTATATTTTAATTTAATCTATTTTATAGATCTGTTTTCGATCATGTGGGAAAACCAAAAATAAACCGACCATTTGGGGACGGTCAAAATTTCACCGATGAAAATTCTGATTTTGGGGGATTGTTTTCCCCCATCTCTAGATTTTATCAGAGTTACTTGCTCCTTCCTCCTCTGCGCCCGCAGCCCCAACTGCCAGCTCCAGATCTCAGTGGGTACTGCTGGACCTCAACTGCCAGCGCCAGAGCTCAGTCGGCACTGCAGATCTTGTAACTTCAACTGCGAGCTCCAGATCTCAGTGGGCACTGCCGGACCCCAACCAGGAGGAGGAGGAGAGGACAACCATGATGAAATCTAAAGACTTTCAGTCTCTAGATTTCATCAGAGGTGTCCTCCCCACTCTTCCCTGCCAGAAAGATGTGCCGGAAAGAATGTCAGAATATATATCAGAACCATGGCAGACGGGTATGACAGTATTTTTGTGACGGTGGGGATCACTTGAAGTAAAGTAATTTATTGGCTTTACCGCATGATTTCTTTTTTTGGGGGTTGGTGTCTCGTTTTTTGAACTGGCTGTAACGATTGTGTGGGAATTCCTATTCATAGACAGTCGATGCCCATGGCTCCTTAGCTCTCCCCTTACGACTGAATAGTTTGTGTCAGGGACCTTTGCGAGGATTTAAGGTAGTATGTATGTATTTTGAACACGTGTGGGCAGATTGCTGCTTAGCATGGTTTTGTCAGGTCCAGTCCACCAGGTGAACTGTCTAGGGTTTCACGGGGGTTTAACCATAGTAGAGCGATTTTTTTGATGTCTTGTCAAGTGAACATTGGTGAAAACATTGGTTTGTTTTTGATTTCCCTTCGGATTGGAAATGTTTGAATGGGTAGGGGGGCTGACTAGCAGCAACGGAGACTGAACGGGCACAAGAAACAAGACTGGGAAAGATCATCAAGCCAACAACATGGGGAGACATGAGCACCAGTAGAATGGCAGGAAGGGATCAGGATAGTTTTTGTCACCCTATGCAACGCTGCGTACCTATCTATACTAAATGAGTAACTAAATTAGATCGCGTTCTACTTTAAATCAACATATGTGAATTGTTTTTCTCACGTTGAAAATAATATATATATATATATGCACTGTTTCTCTAGCTTGTTACAGCTGGCAGTCGGCACGATAGATGGATCACATGGCCAGGAAACTTGGTTAGGGGAAATTTTAGACGTCATGAGTCATGATTTTGGGTTTTATGAGGGTTTTCTTTCGGATTGGTTCTTGTTTTTTCCATTTTTTTGAAGACTTGGATCGCTATCCTGCCCTAGCTTCTTACCTTGGTAAGCATGGTTCGCACGTTTCCACATGGGAAATCCGAATTGTTTCAATTGGAAGTGGCACACCGGCCTTTGGGCAAAGTCAACATAGAGGTGTTCCATGAAAACAAACACTTGATAGTAATACACCCCAAAATAGATTGAACAATCTCAAACCTGGAAATATGAGGTAAATATACGTGAATATAATCGATGCCATCCTGGAAACACTTTCCGTGTTTTTGGTGACTACTATAACATGCTGGATGTTCCCACTTTATCTGCGCCACGGGGTGACCATTGTTTGAGCCATGGCAGAATCATTTGATATTTGATGTTAATCGTATGATATCTTAAAGCACTATCGTGCGGTTGGCTCCAGTCGCCTTTTGCCATTTTAATCTGGTTGGTGGTTTGGAACATTTTTTATTTTTCCATTTATTGGGAAGAATAATCCCAACTGACTAATATTTTTCAGAGGGTTGAAACCACCAACCAGAATGTGATTGGCGCATATCTTCTTGGGTTTTTCTTTGATTCACCCCATTTTCTTTGACAAAGTGCTGCAGTGAACTCAGTTTGCCCTGCCCGGGCGGTTCCCGATTCCCAGGACCGGCAACTTCATCCAGCACAATGGAAATAGCGGTCAGGACGGAAACGGGTCGGCCCTAAGAAGGAACAGCAGCCAGCTGCGCAAAGTGATGGAGAGCTGCTTGGTGGCAGAATCTGAACAACGCAACCATGATGATCATGATGCGTCAGAGATTGTCAGAGTCATTAGACAAAATAAATCAAAATAAACTATTGTCTTGCTATAGGTTGTTTTTTTTGTGCTGGTGGATTTTGTTGTCAGTGATATAGTTGGCTTTGTTTTGGCACCCTGAAACTAACGTTTGACCACCCTCCCAAAACGTTTGTTTTTTTTCTCCAGAAACAAACCTTTCTCCCCAGAGTTAGTTTGTTTCCCCCGCCCCCCCCTCCAAGCCAGCCAAAACCCGGGTTTCGAAACTAACCTTTTCCCCTCAAAAACTAACCTTTTAAACTTCAGTTACTTCAGTTGGAAACGTGCTGATTGCGTCCATACTCCCGGTCCGCGCCGAGGCGGAAGTTTCGAACATTTCAGCCAGCTATAAGAAATCAATGGCCTATAGGAAAGTTCTTGATGCAGAAGCAATGAAGTGCTGAAGTTGTGAGGTGCATCAACGAATGAGCAAATGGTGGTTAGGATGCCAATGAAATGACTGAACCAAACCAATGAACCAACAAACCAATGAATTAGTGAATCAACGAGTCAATGGACCAATGAGTCAATGAATGGGTGAATTAGCAATTCGATGAGTCAACGAATCAATGAACCTATGAATCCAAGAACCAATGATTGAATAAGTTAGTGAGTGGATGAATCAATCAAGCAGTGAGTCAGTTAGTGGATGAACCAATGAATGCAATGACCAGTAAATCAATGAATCAATGAACCGATGATTCAGTGAATTGATGCAATAATGATTGGGTGAGTTGGTGGCTGGTCCAATGAATCAGTGAATCGATGATTCAGCGAATCAAAGAATCAATGAATGAGTGAACTAATAGTGAACTAAATTGAATCGACGAATCAACAAAGCAATGATTCGATGTTTCAGTGGATCAGTGAATCGATAAGAGAGTGACATGAAAAAAAAATCCCGGCAAGAGACCCCAAGCAGTGTAGGGGGAGCGGAAGGATAATGTATGATAATGTGTGTGTGATCATCATGATGATGATGATGACGACGACGGTGATGATGGTGAGGATGATGGTCGCGATGATGATGATGGTGATGATGGTGGTGAGGATGATGGTTGTGATGATGATGATGATGATGATGATGATGATGATGACCATGATGATGGTGGGGATGACGATAATGATGATGATGATGATGATGAGGATGAGGATGAGGATTAGGATGGGGATGCTAATGCGGAAGATGAAGTGGAGGATGAAAAGGTGGAAGATGATGATGTAGAGAAGGAGAAAGATGATGTAGAGCCGTAGAGAAGGAGCAAGATGATGATGTTGAGGTGGATGATGTTGAGGTGGATGATGTTGAGGAGGATGATGACAAGGATGATAATGTTGCACAAGATGAGGTGGAGGATGATGATGTTGAGGATGAAGATGTCAAGGGAGAGGAAGATGATGTTGTTGATGTTGAGGAAGGAAGATGATGATTTTGAGGAGGCTGACGTTGAGGAGGAAGACTCATCCCAAGACCGGGACCCACACTTTGCGCGAGCCTGTGCAGTCGAAATGCAAGTCAACATTTGACAAGAGCCACTTTATCCGGACATTTATACATAGATATGCCTTGACTTAAGATGGACTTAGGGGCTTTGTAAAAGGACTTAGGGAAGTTAACTTGAAGTTATGTTAAGTTCTTTTAAAGGTTTTGTATGTTAAGTTATATCTTTTGTATAGCGACGGACAAATACTTAGAACATCATTTGGAAAAAAAATCTGAAAACCGTCACAGCGGGGATGTTCTAAGTATTAAGTCGTTAGAACATACCCAAAACCTATACTTAGAACATTTCCAAGCTATACTTACAACATCCCAGTGGGGAACCAATGGGAACCATACATATATGTATTGAAACCTGTGCTTTTTGACTACCCCCTGTAGGAAACCCACAAATTATATACTAGAGACCTTCCCGTTGCAGCGAAGACTGCTTGGGATATTGTTCCCGAAGAAAAGGTATAGAATGCTGCAGCAGTGAGGGGAGAAAGTGTTCTAAGTATGGTGTTCACCAAGGTATTTGTGTGTATATATGCAGATTTACCAAAGTGACAGGACATGTTCTAAGTATATGTGTGTTTAATGTTCTAAGTATGCAAAAAGTCAAAGGAGATGTTCTAAGTATCTGTTTTTCTGATGTTCTAAGTGCGTACTTAGAACATTTCTGATGTTCTAAGTGTAGTTGTTTTGATGTTCTAAGAAAAGGTTCTGAAATTTTGGAAAAATGATGTTCTAAGTATATGTCCGTCACTATATCTTTTTTGGCTGTAAAAATTGTAGTTGTTTGGGGCAATGTGATTTTGGGAAGTTCCGTTTTTCCCGCTGCATGTCGTTTCCTTAGCTTTGGATCTCGAAATGTGAGGGAAAATCTGGCAAAAACAGCTACGTTTTTAACACATACGCCGTTTCCAAGCACGATGGTGATGGGAGCTGGAAACTTAATCGCGTTCCCTTGCCATGTTTTTGTGGAAACACATCCCGAATGTCGAGATTTTGGAGCACCATGTGTATAGATGTGGAAACACATCTTTAACACATACGCGTTTACAATCACTTATTATGTGCGTTATGTGTCTGTGTGAAAACACATGCGTATATTTACTCGTTCTGGAAGTGTAAAATCTAGAAACACATGCGTTTTTCCTTATCTTCTTCTCTAAGCAACAGGAAACACGTGCGCGTTCCACGCCAACCTTCTTTCATCTAAACGCCAGGGATTGAAGTCCTGCAGCATTGCTTTCTGGGCTAGCACATTTCAGCTGCAGCCATGCTTCCCTTGAAGTTATGCTCCAATTAAGCAGAAAAATTGTCCTGCCATACAAAACATCTGTTTCCAGGCAAAAAAACTATTTTCGCTAATCTGTTTGTATTTTTTTGACGTATGTGCTATCTCATGTTATATTTCACTATCTATTGTTATAAACTCAACATGACTTATACAAGTTACCACCATTTATAAGTTTTATAAGTATACTGTATACTTGAACCACATTATAAAATTCAATATGCAACATATACAATGATTTGCATGTCAAGGCATAACTATGCAGAAAAAATGCCACGGCCCAGATTGAGCCCAGAACGCCGACACACACTTTGTGCGAGCCTGTGCAGTCAAAATACACTTCAACATTTCACAAGAGCCACTTTATGTGGAAATTGAAAGGAAAAATGCCGCACCCCAGAGTGAGCAACCTGATCAAGCACTGGCCTTTACTACTACCGTAAGAACCCCTTAGTGTGGACACATTGTTTGGGGAATGAACCGATGAATCAAGAACCAATGAATCAATAATGAATCAATGAGCCAATCAATCGATAATTCAGTGAACCGATGAATTGAATCAATGAATCAGTTAATAGATAAGCAATGAATCAATGAACCAATGGAGCAGTGATTCAATGAATCAATGAACCAAAGAAGCGATGATTCAACGAACCATGGAACAGTGAATCCATGAATCCAGGAGTCAATGAATCAATGAATGAACGCATAATGAATGGATGGAAAGGTGGATGAATGAAAGGATGGATGCATGGATGGATGGATGGGCTTTACTTCTTTGTTGAACTAGTTCTTCACTAAGCGACCTCTTCGCTGAGGTACCTCTTCTCTCAGCTATACTTCTTCTCTGCACTTCTGCTCTGACATGCTTCCCAGCTACCTCTTCGGTAGCTTCTGCAGCCCAATCTTCTCTTCACCTCTTCGCGCATCCAGTACAGTGCATTTTGCAAGCTCCGCTGCAACTCCGCATCGTGCAAACGCGGCACATGGCTGAAAAACTACCCTTCGCACAGCTGTTACAATGCGCCCTTCAACCTCCAGCTACAGCCTCGCATAGTAGCAGCGTCCGAACATCGATGCCTTGCTGCGCGCAGCCATGCCAATGCGATCTGTCACAGCGGATTTCTAATCCGCGTAGCAGGAGCGCCGCACCAAATCGACCAACATTGGCGCAGCGTTGACAATCGGCACGATTCCGCACCGCTCCGAACATGGCGGATTTTTACGACTTGTTACTTCTTTTTGTGAAATCGACGAGCTCTCGCTACAGTCTGATGGACATTTTGCCGACCTGATTTGCTAAAAGTGCTCCGAACATGCCTTTTTTTAAAATATGAAAATGAAATCAGTCGCTGCTGTTTGGTGCACATTTTCCCGACCTCATCTTCCAAAATTCAACATTTTGCAGTGCAAATGGAGATCTTGTGCAGTTTTAGTCGGCAATTTTCCCCGATCGACACGGTAAACCACGGAACAGGCACTTCACTAACTTCGGCAACCCCACAATAGTCGAAAAAAATGGTTTCGCGCCCAATTTTTTTTTCACCTGTGAATTCCCACGCTTCCGCAGTTACACTTCCCAACTAGTAGAAGGCGGGTGTTTGACATCATGGATGTGGTTTACATGATGAGCGTGCTTGCCATAGCCATGACCACCATCCGTAACTCGGATGTTTTCTAGCTGCGTTTCCTTTGAACATAGTCACCCTCAGAGGAAAGTAATCTTCCAAACCCCTATTTGGCAGGGTCTATGCCATGCTAAAAAAACTATGTTCATCCAACGTCCCGGTTTATATGTAGATTACATGCCAGGATCATTTTTGGATTCTTTGGATGGCTGAAAATTATGTTGTCCACACCTTTGCTGTTTCAAGGTGTTTACCTAGCCAACTTTATGGCCCTGGTGGTGCTGGTGGATGCTTACTGCACCTGCGCAGTTATCGATGCGCGCGCTGCTGCTTGGGAGCACTTGAGACGGATGAAGGTGGAAACTGAAAGTGCGCAAAACTGGGTGGATTTTACAGTGGAAACATGGGATTTACCATATTTACTTGGCAACTTCATGTTCTTTAGTGTTTTTCAAAAGCAATGATGAGAAGCTTGTGATTTTTGCAATGAAGACATGAATTTCGCCTGGAAGCCTTGGTCGATGCTTAACCCACCAAAATTGGAATATTGCCCTGTACACGTTACACGATAATGGTAGTGAGTATACCGCCACAAAACCGTGGGATCAAGTCAAACGGTCTAATGGAAGCAGCAAAACGATGGTTTGCATTCCCAAGGCAAACCATGAACCTGATATTGCTGTCGTGGTGATCTCCGACGTGTGTTTATCGCTCTACACTTTGGAATTGTCACTTGGTTGTTGGAGAAGATGTGCCCAAACTGGGTTGAAACATGTTAAATAATTTCAATTTCTGGCATTTTGCTGAACATTCCAGCTGTTGGCAGGATGATTCCCATTGTCATGACTTTGGGCGTTTTTGGTAGGTTTAAATTCATTTCACATTTTCATGTTGGGTTTCTTACTTGATCCTTGGTGCGGAGGAGGTATCCAAGAACATAAAAAAATACTGCATAGTTGTATTTGCGCAAAGTTTCTCCTTACGGCCGGGGTTCACACATGATTGGATGCAAGTGTTGGGGCACATATTAAATGATCTTACATGATATTACAGTTCATAACCGTTATTTTTGGATATACTCTGCATGTCTGCATGTTTTGTTTTGCGTGTTTTGATATGTGTTCATCTTTTATATCTCTGGCTGAGAACGTGACCAATCTTTGTGTTTAAATATGTATATGTATAGGTGTGGCCCTGAACTTGTGCACGGCTATTATTTGGTCAAGGTCTTCACTGTCTTTTCCCAAATCACTTTGTTGTGTGTTTGCTGTGCAGAAGGTCATATCCCTGCCTGGTTGTTTCAATGCCTTTTTGCTTCAAGGCCTTCTTGGGATGACGATGCCCAGTTGACCCGTCTTATTGAGAAGGGGGGTGCACCACAAGCAGATTTTTGTTGATGACTCCCAAACAAATATTTATGTGACACACCCAATGTATCCCAATGTCATAAACCACCCTGTTGACCAACCATTCCTGGGGGTTTGGGGTCATTTCACAACCCAAAAAGGATAAAAAGGGGGATACGGTACACCCAATGATCAAAGCCTGTTGGTGTTGCTATATTCTTGGGTTTACTCCTATTCTTTTTGACGAGGACATTCATCTTCTATGTCTTCGACAAATGGTCCGTCCTGAAGGAGCGGGGGCTGCGGCCAAGGATTGCTGATGTCGGCAGCATTCATAGGAGAAATTGTTACGACGTCTTTCTATTTTTACCGATGTTTATGTTTATGTAGTGATAATGACATATCGGGAGAATGGTATCTGTTTTTCTTTGTATACAAACAATGATTTTATGAGAGCAGCACTGGTTGCTAGTGATTATGATATATACTGTATACTGGCAATACATAGTTTTAGTAGCGGCGTTAGCAGAAAAACTATATATTTATATATATATACACACGTGAAAACGCATCTATATTTGAAGGCCTTGTCAATTGATGATGTCAGATGTATGGCTCGTCGCTGGAGGATTGGATGATGGTTTTGGATGTGATCATCGTGACTTGGCGATCCACGTGACCCGGGGGGAAGTCGTGGCCCCTCAGTTCGGAATCGCGAAGTTGCTTGACATATTCCTCTAGGGCTGCTGGTGACCAAGTAGTTTTCGTTAGATGGGGCAACATTAGGCCGCCAACATGACATTTGGTGGTGAATCGGGTAAACGGACTGATGAACAGACAGGGCTATGGTGGGCTAATGTTCTGCCATAAGGTCGTGTGCTACAAGTTTTGCTGTACTAGTTACTAGTACATGTTTTTTTTGTTTTTTTTAAAGGTGATTATTAGTTCATATTAGTTCCAAAGTATCTACTGTGAAATGGACGAGATTTGCTAGTTTAAGAAACAACATTTTCCTACACATTCTATGTTTCATCCCTGATGGCCGGCATTTCCCGGCATTTTCTCGTCCATTTGTACTCAACATGTTTCCCAAAGTTGATCAACCACCATAGCCATGCATCGCTGCCAGGTGGCTTGTGGTTGGTTTGAGATCATCATGAACGCTGCGAATGTCACGCAGTTCGGTTTCCGCGGTTCCATCAAGGTTCGAAGGAGATGGGGAAAGAATATGGGTGAACCAGAACCATCCAATGCCGGTTCGTGCAAGGTGGTCGCCCAGTTATAAGTTTGTGTTGTTAATCCCTATTAATCCCTTGATTTGTTATAATTCTCCATAAACCATAGTTCACCAAGTTACAAAAGTTGCCCTTTTTGGGATGAATAAACATGTCCCATCGTCGATATGATATGGTGCTGCCGAGGTGACGGCTAGTCCTTGCATCATTCACTACAGACGCAGTTTCGTAGTTGAACTCTTAGAGAGAACGATGGAGAGAGGAAATATGGAGAAAATAATCCCGGCAAGAATGCCCAAACAATGTTGCAAGGAATGTGACAAAACAAACACGAGGGTAGATTCGGCAAGTTCCCTGTGCGAAGATCTCTGTAGAAAATCGTGCGCAAGATC